CGTATCTTTATTTCGTTATATCTTTTGTGTCCTTTGTGTTTATTCCGTTAGCTAGATTGGACGATGATACTATTGACGAAAAACGCTAGGCAGTGAAAATAGATAACACAAGAAAACGGAGGAATAAAATATCACTGACTGAATTTTAAAATTCAAAAATAAAATTTATGGAAAAATATACTTTTCGCTATTTCCATACGATCGACATTTTATTTTTCGCTATTATTGCGTTCGACATTTAGTATTCGACATATTTTCTTTCGCTCATTTTAATGCCATTCGTTTTCGATATCTTATAAGTAATATAACGGTTTCGCATATTTCGGAAAACAGAAAGCATTCTACACTCTCAAATCGCTAATCATAAGTAAATGTTTTCAATTCATTTATTTTTCTCTTGCGCCTGGATGCAATTTATCTTTGACACTTGTTTTAGCTATTCAAAGGAAAATTTTATTATTGTGAAGGTCCCTCGGCTCGGAATATAACAACAAGACAACAATGTGAAACAACGTCCGATCATCATTGGAAAAATCAACAATATAATTTTGACAATTTAGGTCACGTATGTATTTTAACTAGGAAATATTTCGTATGGTATTAGTTTTCTTTTATAGGCATTATTAGCTCTATTTGTTTTATCGTCACGAGATGGTTGGGTACAAATAATGTATAATGGGATTGATGCTGTTGATATTGATATGCAACCAATAAGAAACTATAGTGAAGTTAAATTAGTTTATTTTATTTCATTTTTATTACTTGTTGGCTTTTTCGTATTGAACATGTTTGTTGGTGTAGTTGTGGAAAATTTTCATATATGTCGTGCTAAACAAGAACGCGAAGAAAAAGCAAAACGTACAGCTAAACGAGCCAAAAAACTAGAACGTCAACGGCGTCGTATGCGTGAAGTACCATATTATGCAGATTTTTCGCCATCGAGAAGACGTTTACATAATCTATGCAGTAGTAAATATTTTGATTTAACTATTGCAGCTGTTATTGGTCTTAATGTTATTACAATGTCATTTAAATTTTATTTCATGCCACCGGTAAATAAAATTCAAATTTTATTATTCGTTCTATTCGTTTCAATAGGCTTTTGATATGACTCTTGATTATTGCAATTATGTATTTACAAGTGTATTTACAATTGAATTAATATCAAAGATTATTGCTCTAGGACCATTTCGATATTTTAAAGACAAGTATTAATTTACAAGAAATAATACAAACAAAAACCATCCTTTAACTTTTCATGTATTTTTACTAATTTCAGATGGAACCGACTTGATATCGTCATTGTTGTTTTATCGATAGTTGGTATTGCGTTGGAAAAAATGAATAATGGACATATATGGCCTATCAATCCAACTCTTATACGTGTTATGAGAGTATTAAGAATCGCACGAGGTAGTAGAAATTTTCTCTAAAAAAAAAGGAGCAATATAAGAGGCATATTAGAATTTTCATTGATTTTACGGTACTCATACAATTATACCGTTTTAGCATATTTTTGCAGTTGCCATTAAATTAGTTCTAGGCTGGTATGGTATTATCTACGTATGCACTGTACTAAATGTTGCAGGTTCTACAAAATATTCTTCATTATAAATAATCTCTTAGAATCATTTTCTTTTTACGATGAAAAGATCTTAGGAAACTGCATGCGACACTCCAGAAATGAGTAGAAAATATATTTGATTGTGCTATAAATGAATAATATCTCTAAATCCTGTCGATCACTACAATAAAATATTAGTAATTACTGCGCTTGGTCCTTAATCTCCGTATATTCATTTGTTTGAATGCAATAATCTTCAGAGGCGGTGCAAAGTATTCTTTTTGGAGAGATTGCCGATATACTGCTAACGCTAATATATGTAACAAAATTTGGCGTTGAGGTATGCTTTAGTATATATTAAAAACGATAAAATCGGAATGGCTAGGCGATACAATAGGTTTCTAATGCTTTCTCAAACTTTTATTTAGCCGACACAATGGCTAATCTATGAAATCCTATCTTTAGATTAAGTCTACGTGTAAGAATTATAATCTTCAATACTTTTCATAATGCATTACGTGAAGATAAAGTTTTATTCTGTACGAAAAATCCACTCGCTATCAGAGCATTATGGAACTTTTCCTGGAAAATAAAGTTCTGATACGTTGGGAGTTATCCACAACTTTGCTTTTTTCATAGTCGTGGATCAAACATATTCTCATTTTCGTTGTTTTACTTTAGCTCTAAAATTAGTGAAAATGGCGAAAGGTATTCGATCTTTATTAGATACAGTTATTCAAGCACTTCCACAAGTTGGAAACTTGGTAAATAAAATCATGATATTTTTTCCATCATAGAAAAAACGATTTTCCTTGTTTTGTTTTGATTAGGGTCTTTTATTTTTTCTTCTTTTCTTCATCTTTGCTGCACTTGGCGTTGAATTATTTAGCAAATTAGAATGTAGTGACGAACGCCCATGTAGTGGACTCGATAAACATGCGCATTTTAAAGATTTTGGTATGGCATTTTTAACACTATTTCGTATTGCAACTGGTGATAATTGGAATGGGATTATGAAAGTTAGTCATTCTTTTAGCCAATTACTAATCTATTGTTTGCGTTGTTGTGTGCCTATAGGATACCCTACGTCAAGATGATTCATCACATGGAGGAAAAAGCAATTTAATGAGTGCCATAGCACCAATTTCATTATTTTCGTACTTTTGGCACAATTTGTTCTTGCTAATGTTGTTGTTGCTGTATTGATGAAAAAACTCGATGTAATTGAACAACAAGAAATACAAATGTCTTGTTTTCGATTCTTTTCTTGTCTACTTTTTAATTAGGAATCTAATCAAATGATGGCTGATGATACTGAACTAGATGAAGAAATCGAACGGCACTTAGAAGCTGACGCATGTGATTGTCATTATTTTGAACAACCACTACTTGATCAGAAAGATTTCGATGCAAATTTCATTCTAGTTGAATATTCTCGTTTTAATTAAATCATGGTTTTTTTCTATTTTAGTTTCTGAATGAGAGTGACATACATTTTTTTCCATTAACAAAACAGTTATCTGTACCACCCAATTTTACGTATAATTCTTTGAATTCATTATTAGAAAATTTGGACAAAGGTTTGTTTACATATAGAAAAATAGATATTCTTTTATTCAATATAGTCAACTGTTCGATTATTCAAATTTCTAATTATGACTTTTCAGTCTTGAGCTAAAACAAATTTGAAGTACAGTTGAAGCATCGAAGAGTACGTTCTATTTTAATTTTGTGGCGTTCATCTCTTGGTACAAGAGTTTTGATTGATGAGCCTTTTTTCCGCCAGTCGCCAGATCTATGTATATAAGAAATAATCCAGATATTATGAATTAATCTTAAACAGCGTCGTTTCTATATTTGACAAAAGTAAATCCTTTGAAAGTTTTATAACTACGTACATGTACGTCCTTCATAATACAGAATTCTGAAGTTTTCATGCGAATAGTTTTCTTTTTTTATAGATCTCAAACTGTAAAACCCCTATCATGAAGATAGTTTTCGTTTAGTTATATTGATAAAATTCGAATATTAGATTTGTTGAGCAAAAGACTTTGAACTATTAGTTCAGAAAATGAAAAATTATGTTCATTATCTACAAGTATTACAACAATAGAAATACTTTACTTTTCACAGAAATAATTTTTCGTACGATCAGTATCTTGCGAATGATATGTCTGTATATCTATATATTTACAGTTTTTAAGATATGTTTGATGTTAACATCACGATGATTAGAAATCTGTCGGATGTATCAGTAACATTTATGTTTATTTTTTTTTCTTTAAGGTACAACATTTAATGATTTATCAATATCATTGATTGACAATTCACCATCTTGTATTCTGCCATCAAGAGTAGATAAAACAAATTTTTCAAATAACGTCGAAGAAAATGGTTCATTAACTACTCAAATAAGTTCCGAAACCTTGAACAAAACAACAGCAATTATTTTTCATCATCATTCGAATTCCGCTCCAAGACATGGTCAAAAAAACGATATTACCAAACAAAACATAAATCTTTCATCAGAAAACAAGCAAATTGAAAATAAAACTCGATCATTGTCTACATCATCGTTACGAATTCATTCAGAAGGCCATCAAAATCTTACCGATGATAATGTTGGCCAATCCGTATCACGTAATATCATCAAGCATGATAAATCGAGTAAACATAAAAAATATGAATTCCGTCCAAATTTGAATTTATATGACAAATAATGGTTTCTGTCAGATGAAAAAAAAAATATCACCAGTGTTTTGTCTCAATATCGTACTGACTGGTCATGTTTTCTTTCTCATTGAGTGTCAGTGGCATATCAATCTACGTTCGTTTGCTTGTTGTATTAATAAAAATGAATAGTATTTCGTTTCCTTTTTTCTTTCAAACCTCTTAGAAAATATCTTAATGAACAAATCAATGAACGACAAATTATGTTACCTACGATTATTATTACGTGATGTAGTCTTCAGATATGAAAGTAAATAAATTCTACAATCATAGATAAAATTTCAAAAGAACACGAAACGATATCAAACTTGTTTTCATTAGTTTCATGCACGAAATTTAATTTTTGTGAGCGACCATTACTGAAAATTTACAACGTTCCAGAACTTTTTCTTTGACACCACATTTGTGAAAAACTGAATTAGCAGAATTCAATCTAGAATTTACTCATAAGTTTATGTCTTGACCCATACAGTGTAGGATTCTGAGTTAAAATTCTATTAATTACCCTACTAAAGTGAATTCTACTTAACATGTACAAAATTTTCAAAAGAATAAAAGAAAGAAACCAAGATTTTTATAAGGATGTTACTGGTGTTCATGTAAATTCAACATGACTTTCGTCTTTCATGTTGTCCAATTAATTTAATTCTTAATGAAATTCCATCTTGATCACAGTGGCGGATCCACCAGTTAGGCTACTCGGCGATCGCCACCCCGTTAAGAAATTTTTTTCGATTTTTCTCAGCAGAAATGAAACGGATTAGAGTCTTAATGCCTCAAATAGACTTGAAAACCGTTTTTTGGCCAGGAGCGCCACCCCCTTACAGATTTTCTGGATCCGCCACTGCTTGATCATTACTAATTATAATTGAATTATCCATTGTAGATTTATCATTTGTATTATTACTATTATTATTATTATTATTATCACTACCATTAAATGCTAATGATATTGACGATACTGAACTTGGTGTTATACAAAGATGAAGATGTACAGGGTGTGAATGTTGGCCTATATGTTCTTTACGCATACCCAGATCCTCAGGAATTCCTCGTAAACTCTTCCACAGTTCCCCCAATGCTAAGGTACAGAAAGTATCTGAGATGAAGAATTATTTTGACTTTCATGAATAGGGAAACGACGAGCGAACTGATGGTCGGTTCTCGTTTCCCTGAGAACTTATCATGACGTCGCTGATAATTCCTGGCTCGTATAGGAATTTCCACTTCTCAATTCTTGAATACGATTGATACATTTGTAACAGTCTGAATAAATCAACACTAGGTACAAATTTATTATATCCATAAAAGAACACAGATCCACAAAAATGAAAAGAATTGTTTCTGTTGTTTTTCTTTATTGCTATTGAGAAATAATCTGACTGGTGGTATTCATTTTATTCAATTGTGTTTGACATATACGTATTGAATCGATTTGCCGACGTATAACATTTATTTTATGTGTATTCATATTTCGTAGTTGACTGAATTCACTGCGCTTTTTTGTCAATTCCTTTTGCTAGAATTCAAAAAGAAAACAAGTTTTCTTAATCAAAAAGAAGATAAGTTTCATTTAAATATATCAAGTTGCTCAATAATTCTTTTTAAGAAAAACTTTTATTAGAAATAAACATTTGCTATCTCGCTCTTGCTGAATGGAAATCATGATTTAACTGATCTGAAAACTCCTCTGGCTTGATCGATTAGAGACTAAGCGAGGTAGTGAGTTGTTGGTTTCTACGGTAGAATCAGTGTTTTCAGACATATCTGAATAGTTCGAGCTAAAAAGATTCCTTTTATCGACATATTGCATTCATTACACATAGATGTTTTTCACATATACGGTACTCTAATCAAATTACTTCAACTTCTATATTTCGATAGCAGAACATTCATTCGGGTAATACTCCCAGAGAACTTGAAATACGATCTATATAATGGATACTTGAATAAATGACATACTTTTTCAGTAAGTTTTTGTTTATATTCATCAAATTTCCTTTTCTTTTCATTTAATGTTAATGAATCTTGATTTTCATGATCGTCTTCGTTTTGATGCATGACATAGAGTTTTTCTGCATCGATTGGTTTGAGTTTAACATTCAATAAAGCCTTATGTAATAATTGATGTTTTTTTCTTGCACAAGCTAAATCACTAAATAATTTGTCGATTGTATCGCGTAATTCAATAGATTCTTTAGCTGCTTGTTTTGATTGAAATGAACGTCGTTGAAGTTCACGGATTTCATTTTCAATCGAAATTTTTGTCTTTAATAGCAATATGCAAAAGAAAGTTTAAAAAAAAGAAATGCAAACTAGATAAAAATTACTTGTTCTAATTCATGTAAATCGTTGTTTAATTTCGAATATTTTTCAGTAAATAAACAATTTTGTCGCCAATGCTCATCTTCGTCTGTTTTTAATTCACTAAAATCGTGAGAAATTGATTTAGTTTATAAAAAAAAGAAGAAGAGGAACGCAAGAAGAAATTTCTTATTCATACACTTGAGTAGCTGATAATGAATTATAAAATGCTTCATTCATTTGATGAAAATCATTGATACGTTTACGAAGTTCATGAATTATTGGACGTTTGTTTTCGTGAATACTTATTAATTCTGTATATTGCTTTTCCTAGGAATAGATTTTGAATATTTAAGATAACATTATTAAAAATATAATCTATTTTTCTTTTATAACAGGAGAACATCAGAACTATTCTATAGTTGACAAGTAATTAGTATTGATAAATAACTTGGCGGAAACTAATCAGTCAAATTTCACTTTATAGAAACAAGTGTGCTCTTTCATTCGCCGTATTTCAAATCGTTTTTGGTATGGTTAAGTTTAAACTATCTTAGTTTACGAGCCTCCAAAACGATAGACTCAGGAGTAGTATAGAAAAATCTTATTCCTACTCAAGAGAAAGCCGAAACTCTCTCCCGTTGATCGCCAGTCGGAACAAATTAACCATGTTTTTCATCGTATTATTTCATCAATATCCAAATCAAATGAAAATTTTCAGTATTATTAAAATTAATTTTCTTGAAATTGAATCAAACATCTAATTTAATAGTTAGTATACTCTTTTTTCGAATTAGAAAGAAAATGTACGTGAAGACGAGGAGGAAATCAGGAAAATGACTACGCACATATAGTGTCGAAATCAATTTTCTCTGTTGTAAACATACGTGCGCTTTTAATGCTTTATCTAATTCATTAATTGGCGTTGTTTTTTGAAAATCTCTGATTAATTGCGCATAATATTCTCGTTTGTCATGTTCATAATTGCAATCTAACATGTCCAGTTGTAATTCAACTTTTGCATGTATATTATGATCAGTTTGAATAGGATCGTTTAAGCAAGGATCTTTTCTGTTTGATGTGCTATTCGTAGAATTATTATTATCATTAAGGCGTCGATTTGACCCATCAGGTGTTTGAAAACGTGAAAGATTCATTTGCCCATTTTGTATTGTTGTTTGCCATTGTTGTTCAAATGTTTGACAATACGAGTCTTAACAAAAAAGAAAAGAAAACGAAACGATATCTATCTTTATTGACATTGTTGGCGTCTACCTGAACAATTCGAATAGCAATCCGTTGAATGCTTTGTGCCATATTGTTTTTCAATTGTATTCTTTACTATTTGACTTCTAACTTCACTCGGGTGTAAAACGCTCTCTGTATATTCGTTGCACATTTGAATAATTTGAGCAATGTCATACTAGGAAATAATTCTAGAACGAAATTTGTTTTTATTTTCATCTAAACATACTCGTGTTGGATCTGTAGATTTTCTCATTTCTTCCTCTTTACGTTTTTTAAAATCGTTTGATAGCAATGGCGATACATCATCAGATACGACGCACTAAAAATTGTGAAAGAAAATAATTTCAATGGACACAAAAAATAATCCACTGTCTTACACGATCACCATTTGCGATTAATTGTTGCCATGACTCATTTTGCCAACGATTCTCTTGTTTTTCAGATTCAGCATTACCACAAACAATACTTGGTTGAAATTTAAAATAGTAGCAAAGTGGCTAAAGAAATAAAAATAAATTAATGTTGAAGTACGTTTTGCAAGGAGTTCTTCTATCTTACAACTTTGTTCTTATCGAGACATAAGTATAAAATTGATATAGAGAATATTTCTTTTTTTTTAAATCTAAATGTCTTCATCGACATCAATTGAACAACAACACCAAGAATTTAAAAGGCAAATCTCCACGCATGATACTTATCCATGTTTTCTTCTTGATCAAACATTTCAAAAGTTTCAAGGTAAAAAATCGAAACAAGCAGACAGATCATTTTCCTATTTTAACGATCTTCCTGAATTTACAGCAGTGTTCGTAGATGTTAGACATTCACTGAAATCTCTTATTATTTTTATTTTAGTTTATTTTGACTTCCCAACCAGTTAAACTAAATCCCCAAAAGTTCTCAGGATCCTTTTAAAATCTCTATACGTTTTCGTATCTCGATTAAAAATCTTGATAAAGCATACTGAAAAATAAAAATAAAATCGTACTGTATAGAGAATATTTTCTAGAGTAGATTTCATTGAGTTAATGACATACAATACAGATTCTAGGATTTACTGATGACATGAAGAAAATAGATCACTTCAGAATGCGTCAGATTTTATATTCTTTTTCCTGAAATATTTAATTTTATCTTTTGATTTATTCAAATTGAAAATGTAGCAAGTAACAAGAGAGAATTTTCAACTTCGGTATGCAATAGCTTACCAATAAAACTCGTTCAATACCCAATCGATTCGTTGGTTTTTCGTGGCCACTAGTTGATTGTGTCGATTCTGGTTGAAGTTCTCGACGAAGATTATTGGGATAGAGTAAATACAATAAATAGAACAATGAATAAATAGAAAGAGCAAATGTCGATGGCGTTTCAAAAGAAACTAAAAATATTAAATATATTCACAACAAACAATTCTTGAGAGTAAAAACAATTATTTACGGTTTGCTTTAACAAAATAATTGGCTGCGAATTTCAGAGCATCAATTAAAAATGATACTTTATGATGAATTATGCATGGATTGATAAGAACGATTGAAGCAAGTGCAAGACAACTTAATCCGTATATATCAGGTTCATACTAGAAGTTTTATTCTTTGAAAATTCAAAATCGAATAATCATAATTCTTGCTTACATGAACCAATTGGCTAACATAAGAAGGAAAAACAAAGATGCGATGTTGTCGCTGATGATCATATCTGCCACCGCTGGCAGCTGGTGTTGATAATAATTTTAATACTTCTATGAAAATAATTGCTAAACGACGACGAGCCCCTTTTCGATGAACATTTGTCAGTGATGATGAGAGAAGAGAAGAACGTTGATTATAAATTAATAGATCATCATCATTACTATCCACTGGTTGAGATCCTGTGTGCCAAATCAGATCGACTAGAGCCTATTTCCAAGGAGAACAATTATTAGGGCTATTTTTTCTACGATTAAAAAGTAAAAACATCACAATCGATCGAGTAGCTAACGCTATTCTCATTAATAGCTGTTGAAAATTCTAGTCCCTCTTAAGGTATTATCATGGATCATAGATATTTAGTAATATTTCATTATTTAGAATTGTTCTTATCGAATTTCACTAAGTTAAGCAAATTTACAAAATTCAAAAGACAGATATTATGTCTGTGGTTAAATCTCTTAGTGAACAGATCATTGTTCAAGGGTCTATCAATCAAATAGCGTATCTTTCAAGAGATTAGTTGGAAGAAAACGAAAGTTACTTGATGTATTAATTCAACTGAACGATAGCTGTACAATCAATAGGAAAATCAATTCTTTTTTTTTCTTCTTCAAAACTAGCTCATCTGGTAGGCATTTTCAATCTGTATATTTTCTACCGTAGGACCATTAAGAAATCTGCTAATGCAACTGAATACTTTTCAGAAATAAAAAAATTTCTGTCTATACGAACTCTCGAAATGTCTGCGTATATCAACATAATTGGCAGAAACATTTTTGAATTCTACAGCACGCCTTTCAGCAAACTTTCGTATTTTCAGAATTCAAAATATTCCGTTTTGCAACAACAATCTATACATAGATGCTACACATTTTTCTAATACTGAATCGACTAATCATATTGTTTATCATGATGATATGGTTCGATGGTGTAGTCATCGCTAGAAAAAAATAAATGATTAATGAAAATCGTCACGATGGTCAATTTCAGTAAACAATGACTGAATTCTAAATCAGTTTGTCTCTTGGTTAATTTTATGCCATTTGATTCTATTCATTGTCTAGAATTATTAAGAAGGTTTTAAAATAAAACAGCTGCTAATGGCTGATATACTCGTTAATAACGCAAGAAAAAATTAATAATCTTTTTTTTGATTAAAACATACGAAATAGAATTCCGTAGAGACTGAAATTTGAAACACGATAATGCTACTGTTATTATCCACTGAAGTGTTAGTGTGTCGTGCATGGAAAAAGGAAATTAATAAAAGGTAAATTGATTTTTTCTATTTTTTTCTTATACAACAATGATGACACGCAGGATATTGTCTAGCACGACTCACAATGTGTGTAAAGAATTAATATTTTCTTTCATGAATATTACCTCGAAATATTCAGTTGGACAATGTCGAATAAGATCAAGTACATTATTCGAACCTCCCAAGAGATATTCGTTAACCAAATTTTGAATTAATTGACGGTCATCATCTAAAACAATCAAATTCTATTTTTGGAAGATTATCAATACTAAATTATAAACTATACCTCTATAAAGCCGTATAAATTTGTCCGTTGACATGAAGCCTTCAGGCCATTGCCGTCTTTGATTAGAACTGGTATTATTATCATTACTATTACTTGCAGCCCCTCTACCGGATAGCATTATATTCTAGAACAGAGACAAAGCAACATAGAGATTTGTTATTCACTTGTTTTTTTTTTTATTGAATTATCATTTTTTTAACACAAAAAGAAGCACATAACTGCCTTAATAAGCTACTTGAAACGACATAAACAAATGCGGTAGATGGATAAAATGCCATTGTATTTTTATCTATTCTGATGATACTTAATCTTTCACATAGTTTGCACGTCTTTCTCGCCAGCGTCTAAAATATAAAAAAATATTCATTATGAAAGTAAACAAAACAAAAATGAACAGGTCTTACTTAGCTTCAGCATATTCATTTTCATATTGAAAATGAATTAAACGTGGTATAGGCGAATAATCACGAACTAGAAAATATTTTCCTAACGGGTGGTCAGTTATGAACGAAGCGTATTGCATAAAATGATAATTGACAAAATAATACCAGATGCAACCTAATACTGTTCCAACAAGTGCACCGACAACAACTTGTGCAACAGTATGATAATGAAGATAAACTCTAAAACAAAATCAATCCAAAATTGAGCTCATTTATTTATTAAACTTCGTCTATGTACCGGCTATAAGCGACTATAACAGCAATGATAAGTTGTGTAAAAACAAGAGCACGATTGCGTATTGAACGAATGTGTGGTGAGCCTGGCATTTGAGATCTAACATTTATTTTAAAAATATTATATTTAACTAGAACAATAGTCAAAGGAGATTGATTTACTTGAGAATCACAAATATAGCCAAATATGTCATGAAATAAAAAAATGTTTGAGCATGATCGCTTGGCATACCATGAACTTCATATAAGCCCATGCGATCTCGTGCTAAAAAATGAAAATGTACATATATATTGAAGTATTATTTTAAAAACTAAATTTATCTTAATGAATATTACTCGTATTCGAAACTAAGTAGTTAACTACGAATTCGATGAAATATTAAAAACCATCGCAGCAAAATTTACTAGTTTTATCTTTAAAATAATCTTTCCTATCGATCAATCCTCAAAGAATTGCTTGTAGTCTTTCGATTGAGCTTTTGTTTTCGACATATAGAAATTCTCATCAAAGATCATCTTTATGTTTCATGGACTATGACGTCGTTCTAATCTTTCAGTTAAACATTTTAATTTCAAAATCTATTTGTTTACTTTCGCAAGGTGTAGATGTAATAACTCCTGATTCCATTACAAGTGGAAGTACGCAGAAAATATTTGCAAGAGACATTTTAATAAATGTGCCCGTATAAGAAGTGTACATGCGATACTAACAGTATTTGTTTAAGCGAGATTTTAATGTAAAATAAGTCTCTGCTGAGTAGCAATCAATTATTCAGGAAACACAAGACCTTAATCCCATCAAGTGCTTGTCACTAAAAAAAAAGAAATAAACGTATGTTTGAAAGAATTAAGTACTAGTAGTAGGTTTGACAATCTAATCGCTTACTGATACTTTTGATTATTTCCTGATGCAATATAAATTGTTTTAATGAACAAACTTTCATACTTTCTTACTTATTTTCGATTGACATGCAATGTTTTATCTAGTTTTTTCATTTTTCGGGTGGGCGATTGAAATTTTTGAAGGAGCCGTTGGCCAGAGACTGGACAAGTACAAGCGAAAATACTTGTTGCATACTAATTGTACTTTGGACTTTTACTCAAATGCAACTACTTAAGTACAGTTGCACTGAGTGCCGGTACTTGAGCACAAATGTACTGAAGTACAATTACCAAGTACACTTGAAACCTTTATATGATTATTGGTACATCAGTACTTGGTACTTCTACTTCTAAAGTATATTTTGTACTTACGATTTTTAAGTAAAAAGTACGAAATTACTGAGTAATTGTACTCAGTGTCCAGTCTTTGCACTGCTGGTTAGAAAATTTCTTATCATATAGTAACGAGTGGCCCATAAAGAATGGCGGTCTCATTATTTACTCAATATCGTTTTGTCATTTCATTGATTTGAACGGAATCATTTCCCAAAAGATTAAGCATTCAATTCTCTACAGAGTCATGTGTAAAAAAAAATTTTAAACTACAAAACGGCTAAGTACTAAAAGGAAAAAAAGGGTTCAAAAATCTTCAACTTTCAAGCACAAAATCCGTTTTTTTGATAAATTTGCTTTTCATGGGAGGATCTACAGGAAGCTGAGTTTACCATGTTGAAGAGTATCAGATTCTGGACAAGATTCATGTCTGCGAAATTTTTTTTCATCACAAAATGAGTAGAAAAATTCAGGATCAAGTTTTTTGCTTTTTCTAAAAACTCCAACTGTCATTTCATGTTTTTGATGCTTGCACAAAACCGCATGCCATTCACTAAAAAAAAGCGTTCTTTTTTGATGACCTTGGTTTGTCTTTGAAAGCTAACATACTCGACTACACTCCTGTACACTTGTTCGAGTGACGCAGTTTCGTTTGCAATAGGCTTTCTTGAAAACCGAAACTAAGGCGTTATGGACGAGTTTTCGGAAAATATCGATTTAATAGGCGAAGACCATTTTTAAATAAATTTTTTTCAAACATATCAAAAAGAGCGTACTTGAAAATATCAGAAAATGTTTCTCCCGTAATTTGAGCCTGCGTGTAAATTGTCGAAACATGCTCCAAATGTTAATGTATTTTGAGCTTGAAAGTTGAAGATTTTTGAACCCTTTTTTTCCGTTTTAGTACTTAGCCGTTTTGTAGTTTAAAAGAATTTTTACACATGAGTTTGTAGAGAATTGAATGCTTACTCTTTTGGGAAACGGTTCAGTTCAAATCAGTAAAGAGCAAAAAACATATTGAGTAAATAATGAGATTGCCATTCTTTATGGACCATCCGCTACTTTTATGATATCAACTGTATATTTTCGGGTGGGTGAATCAAAACTTCAGGTGGGCACCGTCCACCCTACCCATACAGTAGATAAATCACTGTTGACATGTGCTGTTAGATAATTAAATTTCTTTAAAAAATAGGCTTAATCGATTAGTTATGATGTGTTTTTGCTCCGCTTTAAGGCATGAACTTAATTTTAAAATGGATGTATTTTGGAAATTTAATTAAAAATCGAATCTTTGGATTTTATTTTTTCACTTTTCTATTTAATAAAACTATCTGTTCATCCATTTCGAATCAAAGTAGAATAAAATCTTAAAACACAAGTTCGCAGTATTTTTTGTTGCACTTCATAAAACTTACTTCTTTCAGGTCGTGCCTGTTTAAAAAGTCTTTTAAGAGAATAATTGCACACTTCTGACACACAAAATCCACCGAAATACATGATCTATTAAAAATAAAAGCATTAGTTAGAAAAAATATTCGTAAAAAGACTTTTGTTCTACCGTTTGTACATCACGTCGAAATATTATTAATGTGCACAGAGCAACAATATAGATAAATGGTAACATCGAAAACCATGCCAAAATAAAACCCAGTTTATCACCTTCATTGATAAGAAAAATAAATAATTGAAAAACAAAATTTCATTAAAAATCTATCTACCTTCTTGATATTCAATAAACGTAACTAAGCAAAACAAAGAATGATAGTATTTAGCAAAGAAGAAGAACAGTATTTACTCGACAATGGTCGATAAATCGGATCATTCAAAACTCCCATTCCAATTAATTAAATAATAAAAATAATTTGAAACTAATTAAATAATCGCTTAATTTAAAAAACTGAAGTACTTCTAACGGAACAAATATAATATTGGTATCAATCAGCCAATACCTAAATTAATCTCTGTAATGCATCCAAAATAAAAACGAATTTTTCTATTGGTTCACAATCAGCTGTTTTAAAGTGCATTACTATGTTAAGAACATTCAACATTCGACATGAATACCATTACTAAGCAACGTACATTGGAAATGAGAACTTAACTTTAGACGCTTCTTTTTCTTATTTTAAATCAAACTAAACATGAATTATTTGTGTGCAAACGCCGGTCAATACCTTCCTGCTGGTCATGAAAATCAGCATATATTAGCAAGTGAAGGTCCTGATAATTATTTAATGAACTTTTACATAACACAATCTTCAAGTACTTATCGACCACCGCGCGTAAGACCAAAATCGAATATTCTTGGAGATAAATCATTAACAACCGAAAATCTTCTCACACAAAAACTCAAAGCTGATAGAGCAAAAACTGGTTTTGTTAATAATGAACGATACTATATACCATATACACGTTCATTGGATGAAATTGATAATCCAACGGTTGGGTAAGATACAAGTGCTTTTGTTTGTTTATCAGAATGAAGAGTTCGCAAGAAAACACAAAGCTACAAGCTTTTTAAATGTTATTGAGATACAAAAAAAAAATACACTTCTACTGCTGATTTCTTGAAAACAAGTGGAATTTTGAAATGAAAAAACTTCACAGCTATCCGCATTTTCTGAAAGATGAAACTGAAGCCAATTTTCTACGCATAGGAAAGTATTGTGCGATGGACATGGCTTTATTTTTTTCTATTGTTGCATATTTTGTACATGTTCACTGTTTGCAGTTTTTAAACGGTTTACAACTATTGCGTAAGAACTCAATATGAGCGGTGACCCATTCTGAAATTGCCATGCACTTATGTATGAAAGTTCACTTTAAGATGTACAGCGCCGAGCAAACTGATACTTGAGTCCTTTTTTTCCGTAGTTCAACAATTGATCAATAAGAAAACCTTGACACACTCGAAAGGCCTTTTCATCTTATTTTAAGAAGAAAAAAAAGTGGTATTCATTAGCATAGGGCGTTGACATGTTGTTCGAACACAGTTCACTTCTAATTGGTCAATAATTTTAATGGTCAATGATGTAGAAAAGACGAATTGATCCCATGAAAAGTACAATCAACATTAGATAATAAGATTAAGTTTCTTTCTATAGGAATCAATAGCAACACACACAATAGTAGAAAAAAAATACTCGCGTCAGCTTTGCTCGTATACCTAGGCTGATTTCTAACAGAAATAAAAACAAGAAAATCAACAAAGTACAAATAGACTTACAAAATCTTCAGTCGATTATGACTTTGCTTAAGAATTATTTTTCTATATGGTATATCATTCTTGATTCTTTTTCTCTTAAGTCGTATGTGTTCAGAAAATTATGAAACTTCTCATCAATCACAATTTAAACCATATGAACTACCGAACGGTACAGAAGCACTTCCACCAAATATTACCAATCAGATATCAGGATTCTACCGTGAACGTGCTATACATGCACCGAATTCATTTGTACCTCCGGTAAATCTTTAGTTTCCAATAGAATCGATTTATTTTTAAAATCTATTCTTTAGATTGGCGGCAAAGAAGTGACAACTTATGGCAGTACTTTTGTTACACCAGCCAGATCTGAACCGGTTTTATTGGGACAAGTGGGTCCAAAACAATCTTCTGGATTTATTTCAAATACAGAAATCGAACCATTAACAACAACATTAGGTGAACGATGGAATTTCCGTTCGAGACCCATCGGAGGTTCTGAATATAAAGATAAATTTCCACTATATGATTACCCAAAAGTACATCTAATAATTTTATTTATAAAGATTTGAATCCACTAACATATGAGATATTCTAGGGTGATGATCCGTTACTTACAGTTGTTGGTACCAATACAAAAATATCATCGGATCGTGTAATTAATAATTTTGTTCTACCTACTAGTGAAGGTCCGTATGCCGGTGGCATATTTGCACCAGATTCTACGTATGTAATTTATCTATCAATATGAATTTTGTTTTTGGCAAAAATGAAAATTTCTAGAGAATATCGAGAGCATTATCTGGCCCGTCAATTTTTACCTGAAAAAATGGGTAACTTGAATATTGGACCCAAAGAATCGTCAGGACCAATCATTAATGAATATGGTTATGTGCAAACATTTGATGATCCACGCCGATTTATTACAACGTATCAAACAAAGTAAGACGAGTTTTTTGTTTCTAAAAAAAAATAAAAATCAATGAAATTTTTAAAATTTATTATGAAATAGTCATTTTGATATGAATCGCAAGGGACGCGATCGTGAAGGTTACGTTGTTGGTGGTATCCAAAACCCACGACCTACCGGTTTTACAAAAAATAATAAATTATCGAATCCAGTCGATAATTTTCTTGATGAGCGCGTTACTCATTATCGACTTGATCCATATCAAGTCAGGTATGTTGATGTTTATTATCAAATTTCCGCAGAAAAAAAAATTCAATGTATCAATATAGCCTCCAGATTCAAGCTTGAAATCGGTAGCAACCATAAGAAGTATAGGTCATTTATAATCTTACCGAATATCTTCCCAAGCAAACAGTCAGTTTTCTATTCTGAGTCACATTGAGTCTCATCGGCAAGGCTTTTTTTTAAATATTTATAGTCGAACGTCCTGAGCAGCGCTAAATATTTTATCTTATGCACATAGAAAAAAAAGTAACCTTGACAAGTCAATCTTAAATTATCAAATTTTGAGATAAGGAAGATTTCGTCGATGAACTGCCAGAAAAAATATGCTGTTGTGTATATAATGAAACACTGTTTTTTCTTTCAGGAGCTTACGAGCACGCGATCCATTTTTTGATGATGCAACACATGACAATAAAGGGCGTTTACAAAAGACAAGCGACTTATTTTAAGCAAAAAAAGGTATGGATTGAATCTCAATTTAACAAAAAGAAAAGACATTCATGATCACAATGGCATTTCACATATTTAATTGTTTCATTTTAGTAAAAAAAATTTTTTTCATCGGTTTTATTCTTTTACTTGATTTTTCTCAAGAACTGCCTGTATTATTTTACTAATTTTCCTATATATTTTTCTTTATTAAATCAATCGGAATCAAATGCACAATCAAAATTCAATGAAAAACGTTTTGTGAATGAATTTCGAAGTAAACTATGGAGAGACATTATTGCTGATAGTATATTCAAACAAATAATTCGAGAATCACGCAAGCACTCATTTCGTTTGCTAAAGTTAAATCATTTCGAAAATAACAGTAGCTCGATATCGATTTATAGCGTGTGTCAATAATTGACTCAACAACGTACGATATCTATTAAAACGAGAGTTAAACAGACTCTTTTATTTATAACTAACACTTACTTTTGTCATCGTGGATTTTCATAATAGAACAAATTATCGTTTTCAACTCCATGATTCTCACATTGCGCAAAGAAAAGAAAAGAAAATAACGCTTGTCCTCTGTTCTACCGGTGTAAGGCGAAAATCGTATTAATATTCTTGATCAATGAATGCTAGGAGAATTGTTGCACTCAATGGCTTGTAACTTCTTGTTGGTATAAAAAAACAAAACAGACTTCAGGAGTAAAAAATCTAACTAAATGGTTGAATTAAGTTGTTTGTGTTCGTTTACCTTTGTGATAAGCAAAAAACATTTATTTTGATTTTGTTAGAGGCACCTGAAAGAAGTATTAAAATGAATTCTTTTTTCTTTAATGAAATAATAATTTATATTACCGCAGTCTTTAGAAATGACGTAATTTTTCTTTTCGACCAAAGCAAGGCTAATGGGTTTGCAGAAGAAAAAAACCCATCAAGGTAAGCAATCAATATTTTTGTAGGTGTGTCGTCGTGGTTTTGCGGATAGGGGTTTATTTGTAATATATATGTTTATCCAGTAAAATTTTTGAAACTAAAACCGAACAGATGTTGAAATTTATTTTTCAGTTTAAAAAATCTTGAATTAATTTCTATGAATTTTTCTTCGCCACGTAAGATATTTCTGTATATTATATAGAAAATATTTTCAAATAGTTGTTTTACGCTTGAGAGTGTACGTTAATACAATGACTGCGTCTATAGTGAATTTCTATCAGTGCAAGAGAGAGACGTGTAGAGGCCATTGTTCGTAATGAGACCCTCTTGCTGCATACTAACAGTTAGATGTGCAGTTTTAAAACGTGAGATCCTAGGTTTATCCTCGTGACGGGTTCGTTTCTGTACGAAATCAAATAAGAGAATACATATGTCGAACGATAGCCGAAAGGTAAGACTGTTCTTTTTTTCGCTTTCTACGTTTACTCGGTGCACTAAAAATCCTCAAATGTACTGACCCCATTATTGTGATATGCGCACTTACATATGGCTTTGATCTCGTGTTCACTTCATGTGATTACCATGGAATATAAATATCCCGTAAGACATATAATTCAGTTAGATGTTAGTCGCATCGTTTTTATTACAGACAATAGCTAGATAGGAAAACTTCAGACAACACAAAAAAAAGCGAAATTATATATTTATGAGTTAAGATCTTCTCCGAGTGCATTGCCTTTTGCTTGTTAATTTCTTTAGCAGCAGCATGACCAGCTTGTTTAACTTTATCTTCGCAGAAGTTCATACCAGCACCAATTCGTGTACCATCGATCGTATTGCTGGAATCTTTTGCTTTTTCTTTGTTACATTCGGCCGATGAACCACTGGTCATTTCTTTGAAAAAAATTAATAAAATTAGCCAATTCATGCAAAATTGGTTCGTAATGTTTTCCATCATATTTTGTTTGATATAAATAAGAAGATGTTTGAACTATACTGAATCTTTTATCCAAGGTAAATTCTATTCTATCAATTCTTTTCTATCAATTGCCACAAATCTTTCTCTCGAGAAAACGAGAATGAAAAATATAGAACCTAAGACTTGTTATCACATCGAAGCGAAGAGTTTATCGATGCATATTCAGAAACATACGAGAAAGAAGAATATAATAGCAAACTATTTTTTCATTGTATTTCATTTATTGTTGACCAGGAAGAGTTATTCCTATGATCAATAAACAATGGATTAAACATTTTATTTAGAGAAAATAAAAATAAAAATAAAATATTAAACTTTACAATGATATTCGAACATATTTGTTGTGTATTAAAGTTGGTTCTTTTAATGTTGAGCTATTAAAAGTTAACCATATTGCTAAATAAATATGATATGTGATCTTTATAGTAAAATTATATTGTTGAATGAAATAGATTAGAATAAAAATCATCATAAGAACAATAGTAACTGCAGCCAGTACCATATATCGCCAGCGATAAATCAATTTAATTATTGATGCATCATTACCATGCCAAGAGGAAGCTAAATAAGTAGATTTAAAAAAAGCGGTCAGTTAATTATTTACATTAAAATTAAATAATTTGCCTTTTAAATGTCGGAACAGAGCATATGATGAATTCGTAGAATATTTTCCATAGAGTTCAGAGGAAAGAATATCTAACGAAGAACGATTTACATAAGACGAAGCTTGTTTTGTGAGAAACATTGGACCCGTAGAAAACATGACTGTTGGATACCTGTGGATGTAAAAAGTAAAATATTTATGTGTACGATTAATAATGTTTTTGCACATGCTTGATTTACTTTGTAAAATAATTTTGATTAAATTTTGATAATTCATGCAAAATTTTAAATAAAAATGGATGTTTAGGTTTTGAAATAATAACGTCATTAGATAAGCCAACAGGTTTGGTTTTAGGTAGAATAAATTCATATTTTAATAATCTATCAAGTGATGTTAAACAAACAATATCTAAATCTAAATAAATGCCTCCATGTACATATAAAGCAACAAGACGAATAACATCGGCACGTTGTATATCATATGGATAAGAATCAAATGTTGATAAAAGACAAGGAAACTCTTTTTCAATCAACAGACGCCCTTGTTCATCCGTCCAAAAATAATATTTATAATCTGAATGTAATGTTCGACAACTGTTCGATGCTTTCTGCCATTTTAATGGAATTGAATGAATATCACGATATGTTTGATGTATTATTCGTGGCACAGGATTCGTTTCGTTATTGGATAATGAACTCGAAAAAAAAATGGACGCTTCAATGGTACTCTGGCGCCACATGTAACCAGCATGAAACCAAGGCCAAATAGTATAGATGAGTAGAATAAGGAAAATAAAAAATGATGAAAAACAAGTCGTCCGTAATGAAGTCGACATGAAAAAGTTTGCTAAAAGGAAATAAAAACAAAATAAAATTCTATTTAGTTCTAAAATCTATTGCAATACTCATCGATTATTATTAATCATATTATCATCAATAAAACGTGTCCTCCGTAGATACAAAAAAGGGATAGAGATAGAGACGAGTATGAAAATTTCGAGTCTGGTCACAGTTTCACGGTCGAACATAAATGTATGCACTGTACAAGATGCAAGTATGAGCAAATAATCTACTTGCCTCATCTTTGACGAACAGACATAGGTGCTCGGTTTTGAATTAAATGTAATATATTATATACGACGGAGTCAAAACAGAAAACATTATTGCTCGAACCACACGCCATTTTGATTTTTTTTCGCGTTCAAATTATTTCCAAGTAGAGATAAATAACAACATGTAACGACTTTGTTTTGAATCATACCTATACTGCTTCACAAGGTCAAAAACAAATTTGATCCTCATTCTAGTCATACGTACGGATACACGATGGAACCTTTGTTTGAGATTCATTGCAAAACAAGCAGTTAGAATATTGTTAGAATCTGCCCGGGAATCAAACTCAAAACGAAAGCTAAATTCTTTTCGACAAGGACACGCAGCTTTGTGCACATTTATCTAATGATTATTCTATTTATCTCTGAGCAAGAAGCCTAATATCACATCTTTTGTTGCGACTAACAGAAGAATAACATAGCTTTGTCTCACAGCAAATAGCTAATGGCATAACACGATAAAATGACAACCAGAAAGTAGACGATCATTTAAGCATCAAACTATCGTTGATATAATGCACGGTTCGTTGATAAATTTTCTCTGTTTGAATCATGCTGGAAATTTTATTCTCGTTATCTATCACATAGACGCTTTCATGCAACGTTAAGTTCGAAGATTAGTCATCAGAACTACGCTTATCCTATAGGCGTTGTAATTTTTTTAAAGGTTCTTATGAAAATGATTCACCATGAAAACTTTTATTACAATACGACTGCATCTAGACGCAATACAACGATGCGATTAGAATATCGAGGAATGACAACAAAAACAAAAAAATCAGCGAAATAAATGGAAAAATGATAAACTTCAGATACTTCCTCAATACATGGGCGTCACCCTCAAATCATTCATTCGATCTAATTAGTGTTCATTTTTAGATTTTTCTACTCTCTTTTTTAATGGTATATCACTATGTTGTGAAGATTCGAAATTAATCAAGTTTATTAAAAAACTGTGTGATTTATACTGAGAAAGAAATGAATTTTTATTTAATTTATCTCAATTGGAAAGAATGTTTCGTGCATTTCGACTCACTGATCGGTGTTTATCTATACTTCTTTAACAAGCACTGAATACTTGAAAAAAAAGAAAATAATATCGAAGGAACGAGTACAGTGCAGGTATGATAAAAAAAAGTAAAGGTAGTCATGCATAACTGCACGTTGGTGATTTCAATTATTTAGTGATTGTGAAAACTTCAGTACAATCGACCGAAAGAAACAATAAACCTAAGCTATTTCGTAAATTACCTATTTAAAATCAAGAAATTCAGATACAATTTTAGTTATTACTAGTGTATATAATATACTAACATTGTGAAAGAAACCAATCTAATTAATAAAAGCAAGATTATTGGATGAAATTGATCAGACCTATTGTGTGTAATCGTTGAAACTACGGTGAAATTAAAGATGCAAAATATTGCTAAGGCTTGATGTTACAATCAAAAGATAAAGTTCTTCTTTTAATTTAATCTATTTAACTAAGGATTTCGACTAAACATAACTCATAGTATATGTCAAAATATTCAAATCAAATATTAGCTCAGTATACAGTAACATTTTAAGATTAGATGAGAAAAAAAAGGAAGCAAAACGCATGATACTTTGAATACGTTCGAAATCAATCGCAGAGCTCATAGAAAAAGTTACAATAGAGACGGCCATATCTAGTGATTTCGAAACTGAGTGTAGATGTTTACAATTTTTTCAGCAAATGGCATAAGAAAACAGTAGATTAAGGCAACATTCCTTTTTTATAAGCACTTAGCTTAGGCTGGAGAAATTCAGTTTCTTGTCTTTGAATGCTACTCTAATAATTTCGAAATATCTTTAATCTTATTCATCGTGAAAATCAAAGTATCGACACTCAATTTATGAGCTATTCAATCACAAATTGGTTGATAATTGACTTGGGTTAGAAAGGAAAATAAAACGATGTGACTAGTCCATCTTGCGAAGCTATCTACTTTATTTTTAAATAGCGTTCGAGGTCAGTTTTTAGTATATGATAGAAATCATCTTGAACGGAACAAAAAGAAGTTTTTATTGTCAAAATTTATTAATCATTTTTGATCATAGTTGACAATTTCGAGGTGCAAATGATTTTTTCTTTTCTACCTGAAATGCGCTTGATAATCATACCCATTTATCAATGGCCTCGATTATGATTCTTATTTTGAGTGAAATGAAACAATGAGATAAGAAATTACTAAATACGAGTAAGAAAATTTCGTAGTTTTTGACAATAAAAATCAAAAGCCTCTTTTTATTCTGTTCAAGACGATTTCTATAATATAATAAAAATTAACCTCAAATGCTATTTAAAAATAGAATAGATAGCTTCTCAAGATAGGCTAGGTAGATCCTTTTATTTTACTTTCTAGTCCAGATCGATTATCGGTCAATTTGTAATTGGACAGTTCGTAAGTTAAGTTTCTATACTTAGATTTCCATGCTGAATAATGTTAAAGATATTTTGAAATCATTAGAATATCATTTGAAAAATAGAAGATATACTCTCAATGTGATATTTTCTCATGCAATATGTTGAAAATCATTTCAAACACAGATTTTCCAATACATCTGTGTGAGCTCTACTTAACCATAGAAAAATCAAAGAAACAAAAATCTTTACTGTTTGCTCCTTCCTTTTTCGTAAATGATAAGGTGAATACTTCGTTATTAAAACGGCCCCTAATTTTTCTCTCTTTCTCTATGACTCACGCGTTATCCTGAATAAAATCAAAAGGGTAGTGAAACTAAATGACGGTTCACTATGAAAAAGAAACGACATTTTGATAAAACTCAAAAATAAATACCTAGAACCTCTTTTAGGTTCCTTTTGGGTGGGACTAATCGCAAGTAATATTGCATGCAGGCAATAGCTGTATCCAAAAGAGCAAATATTGGTTTAATCAGTATTACTAGTTAATTCTCGCTTGAAAAGCAGTACTTTCACCGTACGAAAAATTTAAAATATTTGTTTCTTTAAAGGAGAAGATGTAACATATCCATCAGCGTACAAATTAAATATTTCCTTTTAACTTGCTCATTCTGTTTTAATTAATATTACTGTGTATGGATGATTGCAAACTTATCTGCATCATAAGGAAAATAAAATGACTTGAGAAATTTGTCGGGCAAACCATGTTACCTACATGACTAAACAAATTGTCAACTTACTTTTAGAAAATCTTTTCATGCACGTTTGTCAAGGAGTTGTATTTAGTTGTGCGAGTAGATGCAAGGACCTAAGTATACTTCTTCAACATTTAACATCTAACGATAAGGATAAGTATTCGTGGGACGAAAACTTGAAAAAAAAAGATTCTACTACATAAACCACAAAATAATAACAAGAACTATCTCGTCAAACTTCAACATACCTAGTTTTATACATATAATTATAGCATCGATTTATTTTCGTCGAATTTTTTTTCATATAGATAAATTGCTTTTAACTAATCTACATATGAAAATCATCCAGTCGCAGTATGCAAACGAAAATAGCACGCATCTTGACATGAAACTGCACAGCCTGATCAAACATAGTACAAAGTATACATTATTCAAGGATAACAAAAATAAATGTAGTTTACCATCATAACGTCAATATCTTTCCATATTTTTTTTCTATTTCAGGCGTGAAACTTATTAAAAGTTATGGATCGATAAATGTGTCATATGCAAAATGCAGACTATACCATTATAAAGTATGACATAAATATCACACGGAACGATGAAAAATGATTTCACTTATGTGTGTTGGATGCACTAAAAAGAAAGAAAACAAGTAGGACTACAGTATTTATGTACTTAACAAATCTATGAAATATTATTGTAAAAAGAATCAAAACATTCCAGAGGATGATATTTATTTCTTGATTATCGACACAAAGGTAAATATTAGTAATAGAATAAAAATGGCGAATACTGTTTTTTTTTTCTAAATGTGCGAAGTTATGCAATGCGAAACTAACTGTTACTTCTAAGATTCTTTGGACATGAAAAAGCCGCGACACGACACCTCCGCGCGACAGTGATCGTGGTAGCAAAAGTTGAGGGTGAGCTCAAAAATAAGGGGGAAAACGACAACAAAAGTGAGGGGGCGAGTCAGAATGAGGACTTTGCGAGCAAATATTATGCATGAATCTGTATTGCGCGCAGAAATGTCGTGAAACATCAATAAATTCTAAAATTAGATTTCTTTTTTTCTACATGATATTACTTCTTAGGCAGCATAGTAAAAGAAAAGTGCACGAAACACATAAAACGTATAGCGATTCTAATAGGGCTCCTATTGTTAACAGCATCGCTATTTTCACATAATCTCTTTTTGAAATATCATGATTATTAGAGAATACGATTTCACATACTGTCAATCTAACAAAGAATTAAATTGTTTAATTAAACGATGCTTCGAATAAATCTTTAGTTGTTATGATTTAGCTTAAGAACTCGTTCGTTTAAATATTGTAAGTATTATTTCAAAGCTAATCATATCATTCAGCCGTATCAGATAGAACTAGTAGTTGGTGAAAGATATGAAATTGCTGTTGTATTTCATTAGCTGATCGAACAAGTTTTTTGGAGGGGAAGTTGTCGCAAATGCAATATTGACTCAACCGATCGAACGAAACAGAAATTTCAAATCTACGTTTATCAGCACCAAATGAACATTAGTCATGTTTTGAAGAGTTATTTCTATGTCGTTGTATCTA